CCCCCCCCTCCCTCTCTCTCGTACACACACAAACACATACTATATAATAATAGAACGGGGTAACTTCAGTAGAGTCACAAAAACGAGTTGTAATTGCAGTATGGGGCAAGATACAGTTTGCAATTGCAGTTCGGGCACCCTACCTGGGCAGAAAGCTGGGTGGTATGCATTGCCCGAACTGGAATTTGCTATTCGAAAATGTAAATTGGCCCGTAGTGCAATTATAACTCATTTTTGTGACTCCCGCGTAGTTTCCCCCCTAATATAACTTGAAAGACAACTGCCAGGTAAGGATGTTTCAATTTAGGAGCTAGTACTCATATGGGTGGCTGTTGTGGTGACAACCTAAAACACACACACAGAGGTCGCCGGTTCAAGCACGGATTCGAGGGCTTAGGCTCAGATGTGAGGATCCAATGAAGCTGCTGGGCGAGGAGTGGGTTTTATGGCTGTGACAGAGTAGTTTTTCAGACTTACTAATGTTGTGATGTTGTGAATTGAGGTCGGACGTCAGAACAATAACACCGTTGAAATCAACTTAAAAAATGAAAACAATTGCAATAACCCATGCCATATGTCTCGTGGAAGCTGAGGGTCGTCTGAGGGCCTAATTGGCCGCCCTCAGCCCAGGCTTTGACAGGGGAAAAAGACCCCACACGAATTCAGGGTCTGGGCGTGTGACAGTTGACTTTAGTCAACTGTCGGTCCACTCAACAGTAAGTCCAAAGGTACCTAGCCCTGGCCACTGGTCAAGCACACACACTTGTTTGTATGCAGGTACCCAGGCGGCATCAGGTCCAAGGGAGAAGTCTGCAACTGTACAATCCGGGCCTTCAGATGTGAGTCAATATGGACGACTGAGGAAAAAGCACCGAGGCCAGGCAGCCTCGATATCTGCTACTTAAGGCTGGCCTCGAGGGAGTCAAGCATTCAGTCTTGCTATGCTGCTTTGACGCTGGCTCGACTTTGACTAGGTGCTGGCTTCATCCTGGCACGAAGCTGGCTACACGCTGGCTGTGCTCAGGCGTTGCGGACGACGGCACGAGGAGGCAGCGTGCTGGCGCTTCCTGCATTATGCGCCAGGCTTGCTGAGGTGGCATGCTGATGTGGCGCTACCTATGGTCTACATTGCATGCTGATGTGGTGCTACCTATGGTCTACGTTGCATGCTGATGTGGCACTACCTATGGTCTACATTGCATGCTGATATGGTGCTACCTATGGTCTACATTGCATGCTGATGTGGTGCTACCTATGGTCTACATTGCATGCTGATGTGGTGCTACCTATGGTCTACATTGCATGCTGATGTGGCGCTACCTATGGTCTACATTGCATGCTGATGTGGCGCTACCTCTGGTCTACATTGCATGCTTATGTGGCGCTACCTCTGGTCTACATTGCATGCTGATGTGGCATTACCTCTGGTCTACATTGCACGCTGATGTGGCATATGCCACCTATCTTGACTGCTGACATGGCACTGTCCATACTGTCTACATGAGGTGACTGGTTGCATGGAGGAGGAAGATCGGGATCTGTGGATGGAGGTCGGGTACTCACGTGAGGTTGACGTCGTCGCTAGAATCTGCTATGTCTTCATGGTCTTCACGTGTTCAAGTGCCACGTGGCACTATTGTGTGTGATCAGGAATATACTTATTATCATTGTTGATGTGCTGAGGGAAGAAGCCCGGAGAAGGAGAGGGGTCTGAAGGGATTGTGATCTCTCTCTCTTCCTCTCCTTTGTCTATTCCCCCTCCACTTTCCTCTTTTGATGGTAATGAGATACTGTTTGAGATATCATTTCACGATTTGGAGACTTTGATACAGATAATGAGACTACTGATGTTTGACGACTTCTGAGTATCTGCCAGACTGGGTTCATTACAATTTGGTATCAGAGCAACCTCTTCATCGCAATCTGCTGTCTGCTGTCAGGTGCTGACGTGGCACCCAGGTAAGTGGGAAGTGCCACATGTGCAAAACGAAACACGTTTATTAACGTGCGCGGTCATACCGCAAGTGTAGACATGGTAGTATTGCACGTGCGAACAGCTATCCCTTGAAGATTATGACAAGGCTACATTGAAGATTTCAAGAGACCGGCAAGAGCTTCGTTGGCAATATGCTGACGTGGCGCTGGTGCAGAGAGAGATTGATACCGCTGATGTGGCACATTGTTTATGGCTAGGTGCACCCCATTATCATTGCTTGCTGTCACGTGTCACAGGGAACCGTGCAAACTCCACATGCTAAATTGGTGGTCGCGTGGTATACCCTTATGATGTCTGAATGTCGTCAAAATCAAAATCGCAACGGCCAGTCTTTGCATCTTTAAGTCTTCTTGATTCGTGCGGAAACCGATCTTCAAAATATAGCTCTAATAAAAACATTATGATAATTATTAATTAGTACATTATGGTATCAGATTCTGACGCGAGGGTTCCCACCCCAGATTTCCTCAACTCCTTCCCTCCTTCTCTGTGAGGTAAGTTCCTCTCTTTCTTTCTCTCTCTCTCTCTCTCTCTCTCTCTCTCTCTCTCTCTCTCTCTCTCTCTCTCTCTCTCTCTCTCTCTCTCTCTCTCTCTCTCTCTCTCTCTCTCGTTGACAAGGCATAAACAACAAGTTCGTTATTTATTGCTTCATCTCGTGATCAAGAATTTCTGATTTCTCTGTAGCCGCCACTGATCAGGAAGGGATATACATATGGTCACTTGCCTGAATCCTGCCTGTTCTCTGATGACCAAGAGGGCTTACCTTGCATCTGAACAGTGAATCTAATAAGTTTTAAACGAGCCTTCAATATTTGATCACCCAATCCTTATGAGTTTGTAATCCCCACGATAACACACCTAATTAGTTGGCACTGGTGAAGGGTTGATTGCACCATTAGGATGGCTGCCTGGCCAGCTGTGATATCCTGTGAGCAGCAGCAGCAAAATGAGTGATACTTCACCCCTGGTGGTAGCCCCCCACCTGATGTTGCACTCCCTTCTTTGTTGCCCCACAAGTCCACTGTCTACGCTACGGCCTTCCCACTGCATGAATGTGACCAGGCTTCTTGCCTGGTCCGTGTGCATGGGGGAAGAGGGCACACGTTCCTCCATGTAGACTGCACATGTTTATCTTCTCTCCAATCAACAAGAAAAGTGGCTAGTGGCACACTTAGTCTGACCAACTCGCCTCACTAAATAGAGAAAGGGGTATGCCGTTTATGATGATGACAGCAAGCCACACCCAACAATCGCTTCCATCTGAGTTAGAGAGAAATGATGTTAATGATGGTGAACTGCATTCACTGCTCTCAGTCCCGCTTGGGCTTGCCAAAATCAAATCCAAGTTAGCTCTATTGCGGGTTCAATCGTAAGACTGCTTAATAACCATGCTTAGCAAGAAAAGTTGGCTATATCATCACCTTCCCACCGCTGGAACTTAGCTGCCACAGGTGATGGCCTGCCACAACAGATCTTCCACGGTCCTCTCTCTCGTCGCTGTGTACATCAAAAAATACTTGAATGTCTCAAGTCAAAGCCTTACGGTAAGCTAACTGCCAAGTGGCAATTCCGCGGGTCGACAAGCGGCACAGAAGCATGTGCCCTTGGCCTCCCGACAACTCGTCCTCTCTGTTTGCCTCGAGCGCGTGTCAAGAACTGAGATTAAAAGTCAAACCCGAGTCCTCCTTGTAACGGCCAAGTGGCCGTTTTTCAGGCCGACTGCTGGCTGCTGTGTCCTTCGACATTTGACAGCAGAGCACGCATGTATGCATCGGTGGGAATGTGGAAGGTACTGCCTAGGTAGACCAAGCCCAGCGGTACTACCTTTGGCGCTAATTTCCAGGTCCGATGGTCCTGCTGGCGAAGCTGGTTTTCAGACCCAGTAGCACAAATCTTGGTCTGACAACACTCACTGGTCTCAATCCAAGCCTCGCCAATGTGAGTACCGTCACCACTTAGACCGACTTCTTTTATTATTATTTTTATTTTATTTTATTTTTATTGTCAAGGCTAAATGAGCCCCTTGCACAAAAAATCAGCAGTAGCTTCTCAGCAGGACTGACCACGGAATGGTCAGAGCTAAATAGCTTGATGAAGCAGAACAAAAATAAACAAAACTAAAATAAAATAATGTAAATTACAATTAGCACACATTGGGAATTTGGCACGACTCCCCAACCATATAACATGGTTAACAACGGCGTGCACTAAATTCTCCTCTGTCCCGCAGCGCAGCCCCGTGCCGTCAAGCAGATCAGACTGGACGGTGGTTCCCTCAGATTATGCTAATAGGATACCTTTTTCCCCACAGGCCAGAACATCAAACCGGTGTGGCCAATTGACACACTGCGGAGGGCCTGAATGTCGGACCCTCCGACAGCGGGTGTACGCTTGCGTTTTTTGCATTTGTGCCTTTGATGCATTCTGTGCGGACCCATTGGTTCTTTCTAGCGTGAAGCGACCTCCCTTCTAGGTCAGTGGGACTGCAATGACCCACACAAAATCAGTCTAAGATTTCTTCCGTTTTCAGAGTATTGCTGCTTGACGAACTGATTTGCTGAGACTTTCATGAACCGTGTGATTTTGCTGTGTGCGGGCATGCGTGTAAGTCCCCGTGTGATGATTGCGATGTGGAGCACTAACCGTGTGCTTGTTCCCTCCCAGGAGGGGTAGAGTTAGAATGAGGAAACCAAAGGGGCAAAACTGACATTGGGACGGGACAGACTACTGGTAGAGGCTAGGACATACAGGGACCAAGTAGAGGGTGGCTAGTACCCGACAAGGCTTTTCCAGTAGCTCAGGCAGGCTCAACAAAGGTCTGGGAGGCCAGGTAGCTTACCGAAAAGGTCATGAGTAGTCTCACCCAGATCTAGTTTTCCAGTTGGCTAGATTCAGGCCCTGAGGTAGACATGCAGACTGCAATGATGTTCCCAGCAAAAGGTAGAGGAACTTCAGGTAGGCCTACCATCTTCACCCAAATAGATCGCCCGGTCATTATCTCTGCATCTGGGCTGAAAGTTTGCCCGAATACAGGGATAATGTCTGGGCGTTCTATTCGGGTGAACATGGTAGTGCCCCGAAGAGGCGGTGGCCTGCTTCCAGGGTGCCTCAGCCTAAGTGAAGCTGAAAGGCCGCAGTAGGAGAGTATATCGTTCGAGCACAGTGAGTGGAGCACTATCTTACCCGGCAGTTATGTTGCTGCTCCGCCCAGAAGGGGAAGTTCTGCGGAGTGCCGCAGGAGCGGAGAGCTGGAGGGGGAGGAAGAATACTTCCTTGGCTATGGAGGAGGAGAAGTAGGGAGCAGGCATGGCTATGCTGGTAGAGGGTGAAGCACCCCACGCCAGAGCAAGAAGAAGGGCAGTAGGAGGGAGTAGGAGGTGAGGAAGAGGGAGAGAGAGGAGAACCGACATAGAGAGACTCGCCTTGATTATGGTTGACCTTCATCTTCACTCCCTTGGTTGGCACTGCATCAAGAAGGCTCCAGTGCGGGCCCTGGTTGGGTCTTGGACATCTTCGAGAGTGTGGGCTATGGTGGGAAGGGATGGGACTAGCATAGAAGTGTTTGCGTTGTCCTTTGAACATCCGTGATAAAGTCTGGATGTTCCGCCATAGCCATATATGCTACAAGGACAGAAGGGAGGTCAGGGCTGGCAGTAAGGGGGAACACTCGGACATGGTTCCTGTCCAATAATTCATTGGGTGTTGTATAATTGATTGATAATAATAGTAGTAGTGAAGAAGAAGAAGAGGTAAGAGGAAGAAGAAGGGGGAAGACATAGGTGTAACTTGTGTAATTCTTCTTCTTCTTCTTCTTCTTCCTCTTCTTTGATTCTTTGAATTTCTTTCTTTCCTCTCTGATCTAATCTTTCTTTCTCTCCATCTCTTCTTTTGAATTCCAGCAAGTCTTGCATTTCTTGCAATTTGAGTTTTGCACTATGGATGGAGTAGGATCATAACAGTGTTCTATTTTTCGTTTTGAGATCACTTCTATCACGGACTGACAGTTGTCTGATTTTGTTTTACTGATAATTCGGTCCTGATTGCTGCCTTTCTCTTGTCTGATTTTGTTTCACTTATAATTCGGTCATGATTGTGTATATTCTCACATATTTTTTACTAGGGAAAATTTCGAAATGCCCCTGAAGTTTGCGTTTATTTGCGGAGTGCCCCTCTGACGGCCGACTTACCTTGTCGCGCCCCTCTGACGACGAATGATGTTTCCAGAAAAACCCTGGCGTCGTTTGGGCCTCAAACATGTTTCGTATGCCCCTACCGGTACCGGTACCAAATTTTCAATATGCCCCTACCGGCTGCCTGTTGAGAACCAGCAGAAAAGTTTCCCATATGCTCTTACCGGTAGGTACCGTCCATCTTTCCAGCAAGCCCCTGTCGCCGTTGTTGAGTGACACGAACACACACACACACACACACACACACACACACACCCCAAATGACTTAAAAACGAGTGACAAACACCTTCGATTCATCATCATATACCACCTGTCCAACCAACAAGTAAACGAAAAGATGACGTGAACACACACACACACACACACACACACACAGATACGCTAGCGTGCACGGGGGATGACGCCAAGAAGACGGCCATGGTGATGGTTAGGAGGTCGACAATCGAGGAGGAGGAAGAGAGGGAGGGCTGACGAGGAGAAAGTTGGAGGAGGGAGAACGAGGGAAGAGGAGGGACGAGGAGTAGGGAGGACAAGGACTACGACGATGGACGAGGATAGAGGATGGAGGCTGGAAGAGAAAAGAGGAGAGCGACGAGCATGGAAGGAGGAGGAGGGAGGAGGGCGATGAGCATGGGTGGAGGAGGAGGGATCAGCGATCCATGGCGCGGTGAACTTGAAGACTGATTGCTGCACCATTTTTCCGATGCGGCTCGTGAAATACCTACCATTTTCGAGTTCGAATTCCTGCCGCCACTGCTGCAAGGGCATCACAGAAAGATGTGTGCCCCTCGTGAGGGCATTTCAAGGACGGACCGACAAAACGCCACCAGCGGCCTAGTAAGGGCATATCGGAAAGTTACGCCCCATGCTGACAGGGGCCTGCGGAAAATTTCAGAGGCCCGAGGGGCATAACAGGGTAAGTCGGCCTTCACAGGGGCACGCCGCAAATAAACGCAAACTTCAGGGGCATTTCGAAAATTTTCCCTTTTTACTATCTTTTTAATAATATAGAAATTTCCTAGGCTACCAGCTGGGCCGCCCGGGTCACCCTGTTTGCCCGGGTGGCCCGGTCGTGCAAAGGACCAAAGAAGGTCCCAGCAAAAAAAATAAAAATCTGGGAAAAAGTTCAAAAAACATTGTTGTGCACTAATATGCAGAAAAATAAACTGAACAAATTTTCCCTCAGGGTCATATCAAAATTCTTTACCAAATTTAAAATGCTGAGAATGCTCAGCTAGGTCTTCCATGTGCCCATCCACCTCATCCTTACAATGTGTGTCCTCTCTGTCGTCAAGGACAGACTCATTCTTGACCCTTTCCTTATCCTTATCCTTTCGCTTTTTCGTTCTTCGTTTCTCTTCTCTTCATCTCTCTTCCTTGTGTTTATCACCTCCCCCTTTACTCTGCCTCTTTCTCACAGCGTACAACTGGGCCATTATGGCAACACGGGGATGTGTGCAGCTTGCGCTAAACTTCATCAACGCGGCAAGCCTTGTACGTGAGAGGCATGGTGATTGGGGGAGCTGAAAGAAGGATGAGAAAAATGAATAGTTTGTGTGCCCCTCGTCTGTTTTTTTTTTTTTTACAATATTTACCGTGCTGTTAATTCGGTCATGACTGTGATCTTTCTCTTGTATGACGGCACTGCTGCAGGATGGTGGTCCTGATCTTGTGTACGATCATGCCATGTGTATGGACTCTCAGCGCCAGCTGATCTACGTGTTCGGTGGGCGGAACATATTCCTCAACCCCGGCATGGCGGAAAGCCTCTACTCAGGACTCTACGTCTATGATGTGCAGGCAGGAACCTGGACGCAGCTGCGATCAGATTCAGTGCCCGTGCCTGTAAGTTGACAAGGCATGACTTTCATTTTGCTCGCGCGCGCGCGCGAGCGTGTGTGTGTGTGTGTGTGTGTGTAATGCATTCAGGGCGTGCTCATGGCATATAACTTGCACCACCAATCTCCAAAGTTTGTGTTTAGCTTCGGTATGACACAGATACCAGGGGTGGGTTCAGGGGGCAAAAAGATGCTAGTAGCACTTGCCAGACCAGTCCTGAACGGTTTTCCAGTAGACCCAGTGGCCAGACAATACAAAAAAAGTCCAAAAAAATGTGAGCATGAAAAAAAACGACGGCAAAGACCGTGACCAACAAATGACAGCAACGCATGTGGGTTGGAGGGCACGGGGGAGGCGGGTGGGCAGACAAACAACTTAAATCACCAGTACACCTGGGCCTGGAGGCGCCGGCGGGTGGGCAGACAAACCAGTACACCCGGGCCTGAGGCGCCTTACTGCATGCAAAGCTTTTCCGAACTGCCAGCAGTGCACTTTCTTTCTTTCTCGGTTGGCGCTGCCAGCCATTGCTGTCCGGTAGGCCGGGCCTCCGAAACTTTCGTAGGCGACGAGTTGCATTTTCAGCAAGGCTGGGGTGTTGTACTAGCGGTTTAAGGCAACAAGGGAAAACCAGATGGAAAACAGGGAAGGAAAGGGCATGAGGCAACAAGGCAAAGATTGACAAGTAGCCTGGACGCAAAGGCACAGGACAGCAGGCAACAAGAAAGAACAAGGGTTGGCAGGCACGGGGGAGGCGGGAGGACAGATGACACACAAGCACACAAAACAGGCAAACCAGAAAAAAATGCAAGTCCCAAAAAAAATTCCAGGACTGAAAAAAAAAAAAAAAACTGATGATGACTGGGGAGATATCCCGGGCGCCCAGGTCCCGTCATCACGCCCGGTTGACCGGCCGGCCATGACCCCCGGGCATGGGCCCGGGCAGCCCCAGCGCAAAAAAAAAAAAAAAAAAAGAACTCCAAAAAATTCTGAAAAAAAAAATGTTGTGTAGAATTGCAATACAAACAACTTTTGGCTGAGGGTCACAGCAGAATTCCGCACGGAACTGAAGATTAAAAAAAAAGTTACAAAACAAAAACATATCACACTAAGGCACCCCCCTTTAAAGTTTAAACTTTAAGCCCCTTTAGCCCCTTTAAAATTCATTTATACTCCCCTTCCCCCCCCTTGACACCCAACTCTCAAAAAAAGAAACGAGCCCGGATCTGGGCTCCACTCGGAGAGCGCGGAAAACCCCACCGCATTTTTTTTTTTGTTTGTTTGTTTTTACCCCCATGCCCGGGTATCCCAGGCGTCAGACCCCCCTGGGCATCACGCCCGGGTGACTGTCCAGTCCAAACTGGCCGGTCATGAAAATCTTCCTAGGATGATGATAGATTGTTTTTGAATAATCATAATAACAATCACTATATTATAACAATCGCTATTTGGCCGCCTGTGACCAGCAGCCGATCTGGGCCCTGGGTTTCCTTGGGGCACGACGGTCCAGATTGGCTGCTGATCGCTTTTGATGTCATCAACTCGCAATCTGGACCGTCGTTGGCGTTGTACTGCACGGTCCAGATTCCGTGTTGATCGTTTTGGAGACGATTGCCAGGCCGGTAGTGCCAGGCCACTATCTACACGGTACACTTGCGGCGCTGGGCCCGCAGGTCCTGGCCCGGTAGTGCCGCGTGTGGCACTCCCCAGGCCAATATCTGCACGGTACACTTGCGGAGGTGATGTAACTAACTTTGTTTTGCAAGGCAACGCTAGAAAGAAAAGGAGCGCCTAACTGGCTACACCTATACGCTATCGGTCCTACTGGGCTACACAACTTCAATGGTGGCTAGACTGGACTTCGATGCTACTCTACGCTACTGCGCTTGACTTCAACTCTCTACACTACTGCCCTCAACTTCGGCTCTCTTCGCTACCGGGCTCGACTTCAACTCTCTATGTTCAATGCTACTTTACGCTACTACGCTCAACTTCGCGACTGAGAAGGCCTATGAGGCCTGCGTGCTGGACCAACTAGCCGAATGGAAGAAGCGGGCAGATGCGGCCACAGCCGCAAGGAAAAAGGAGGAAGAGGCAGAAGAACAGCGCCGCCTTGCTGAGAGACAGCAATTGGAGGATGCTAAGGCAGCAAAGAAGGCTGCAGACCAGCAATGCCGAATACGCCGAGACACACTCTTTGAAATCGAGGGCGATATCGAGGTAACAGCCGACGATTGTGAGGTGGCTGCCGAAGAATAAGATGCCACCGATGCTGTGCGCGGCATTGCAGTCACATTTGCAAATGTGACCGATCTGGTCGCCACATGGACAGCTCAGCAAGCAGACATCCTTTGTGTAGACACACTGGTCAAACAGCAGGCACGGCTCATCGCCGACCTGCTCGACCGCGTGCACAGGCAGGAACAGCAGCCTGCAGCAGCCACACCCGCCGGACCCTCATACTTGGCGGGTCGTGTGAACGCATTGGAGGTGGACATGGGCGTCGTCAAGGACACAATGAAGCAGCAGCACACAACCAACCAACAGTTGGATCACCAGATTCGTGCAGTCGCCGCAAGCCCCGCCTCATCATCTCACGAATGCGTACCCAAGTTTGATGGCATCCTGGTCTTCTACGACGCATCGAAGACCGATCCAATACCGTGGTGGCGACAATTTGAGTTGCGTCTGCACATGTACAACGTGAAGGACACCAACCGACATGCCTGTGTCTATCACCGGTCGGGTGACGCGTGTCAAGCATGGCTTGACAACATTTTGTCTACACACAAGATCGACATCTCCGAGCTGCATATGAAGATCAGTTGGGCTGATCTTATGGCAGCATAGCACACACGATTCCAAGTGGAACCGCCCGAGCTTCAGGCGGTGGAGAAATTGCAGAAGTTCCATCAGAACGCCTTGCTAAGCATGGATTGGATCGCCGAGTACCAACGGTTGGCATCCACGTGCGACTTGCCGATCCATTTCACAGGCGTGAAGAACTACTTCATTACAAGGTCATGCGCAGCATTGCAAAATGCCTTAACGCAAGTCGCGGAGACACGCACCACAAGTGAGTTACTTTTCAACAAGTCCTTGCAGATCATCGTGACGAGCGCGGAAGCCCGCAATGCTGGTCGTTCGTCTTCCGCAGGCCGGAGCAGAGATCAGCATCGGACGAAAGTGGCCATGGTCGCAGAAACAATTCCGCGTTGGACCGATTCTAACGAGGCTGCTTCCTCAGATGAGGGGGATAGGTTAGCAGCTGCCTGAGATGGTGGCCGTCCAGTCAAAGATCAAGGACGTGGCAAATCGAAGACAAGCACCTCTTCATACCCCGGGGCCGGAACATCAGCTCAAGAACCTTGGCTCATTACGGCATCTCAAAGGTGGTATACAAAATCCGCACGAGGTACCGATATTATTTGTGGTGCAACAGCGATGCACACGACACCGCAGGCTGTCCCACAAAAGCCAAGGGAAAGTCCCTTCCGGGAGAGTGAGCACCGCCGAGAGTGGTCCGACTGCACTCTCGACGCCTTTGGAACTGGTTGCTTCGCGAGCAACCTCCCTTAGTTCCGAGGCACATGCGGAAGTCGTAAGTCGAGCCACGACGGTCGATCAGATGCACATCATTGGTTGTCTGCAGGTGTTCGGAAGATTCCAGTCCCGACTGGGAAAAGGTACCGCCCGCTGCTGCAAAGCCGCGTCGAGGCCGTCGGATGTGAGCAAATCTGAAGCGTCGACACCAACAAAGGGAAGACTGTTATGATTCTGGTTGTCTGTTGTCTGAAGACCAACACTTACTCACATAGACTTCCAGGTATGCCCATGCATACACAGAAGGAAGGGGAGAGGATAGGAGTATCACACCGCACACGGAGAGATAAACACAGCGGAAGACTTGACCATGCGATATGACAGGGTACACTGAACGTGCAATTCACTCCACTCAATCCTCACAACCAGTCGTAAAGGAAAGCCGAGTAGATCACATCCAGGAAACAATGAAACTATGATAGTCTGGACACAGTATCAACACTGTTTATTAAACTCAGGGTCACAAATTGTCAGAATAACCCCAGTACTATGGTGCGCTGCTCAGAAATGAGCAGCGCTTCACTCCCCAACCCTGATGAACCGCTATCACCACCCCTGAGTCCCTGAAAGATCAAGCGCCACCCATGTACAGCTTCCAGAGGGAAGCGCCACCCTGAAACAGGCCTCTGAGGCCAAGCGCCACTCAGAGGATGAAGAAGAAGACCAGCGCCACAGTATCTGATAATGACGAAGTGTCGGAAGACTTCCCGGGTGGAAGTCTGCAGCAGTGCCACCACTCCCGGCAAGATGATCTCTGGGGAAGAAGCTGCAGCTATGGTTGCAGCGCCACTACCCTGTAACCCTACTCCAGAGGAGGGTCCAGCAGGGCACCAACTTCTCTCGCCTCCAGCAGACCTTGAATAGGCCCGTGTGCTGACAGAGTACAGCGCAGGTCCCAGCTATGGCCGGCGCTCCGAAGGTCTGGCTATGTCTGTCTCCCTCAACGCTGAGCCGTCACCACTTCCAGTTCAGGTGTTGCACAGCAGCGATGTACTCGGTACCAAACGCCAAAAGCCCTGAACCGATGTACCCGACCTATCTATAGTCTACTCTAGTCTAGACGCGACCTAGACCGGACTGACTGACCGACCGGTACCGTTTCTGTTTCGGTCTCTATGGCTTCTCCCAACCCGGCTATAGGCTATAGGACCGTCTATCAGCATAGGCCCTTGGGGCCTGTCTGTCCTAGGGGTAGCCTGGGCCTGCTATTCGCAGTCAGGGTAGCTGTAGGGATTCTAGTTAGTATGGGCCTATATTTTCCCAAATTTGCAGATATGTCCCTAACGAATTTCCTTACAGGCAGGTCTCTCGGTTAGCCCTCAGCCAAACAAAATTGCGAATCTAACCTACAGATGGTACAGCCTCGACAAGAGAGAGGCTACAGACGACCAGAAACCAGCAAGTCATTGCAAGACTGGTCCACGCCAGTCCACACAGGTCAATGCTACAAAAGAACGGTCAGACACTGAGGAAGGCATTCTCCCTTGCACTGTCTTGATGCTAGTACAATATCGCGAGGTTGCTAGAGTTTATGCTGGCGCCAGTGCTGCTGGGAGGGAGCCAGCATCAGGGGAGAATATGTTGGAGCACCCATTGCCGCCATAGCTATAGACCTTGGTGGTGTTGGACGAGGAAGAGGAGGATCAAGGCTGTGAGACTGGAGAGCTTACCTGGACTTACACCTGGCGACGTCTTGTGTGAACTGCTGCTCATCTCGAGGAAGGTGAGGAAGATCTGCGCCATCCTCCCTGATTGGCTGCACAGTGGAAGCAGGATGGGCGCCCTGCTGTGACCTGTGCACTGAAACCCCTACTGTCAGGAAACGTCAGAGAGAGACTGCATTGCTGAGGTGGCGACAGGGGGAGTAATGCCCGAGGAGGAAGTGGGCAGGAAGAGGCTTCATGCATTGTTGATTATGATTTGGACGCTTCATCCTCCTCCTCTCTGTCTCTTCTCCCCACTACCTCATTCTCTTTAGAGTGTTAATTCAGCTTTGGGCACTGGGCCCGTTTGTCATTTAAAAAAAAAAAAAAAAAAGCATATAGGTCAATGCACAAGATTCCTTCATCAAGTTAACTTGCAATATTTTTATCTTTTTTTTTATGTGCAAGGATCTGGGTCCTCGGCAGGCCTTCATTAAGTGAACTTGCAATATTTTTATCCTTTTTTTTATGTGCAAGGATCTGGGTCCTCGGCAGGCCTAAGGGGCCCTGTTGCAAATGTGCCCGCCCTAAGTGAAGGCAGGCCTAACAAATCACGAGAGGCCCTCAGCTGTCAATTTCGTATTTGGGGTCCAGGCAGTTGTGATGCGCCAGTTGGTTGAGGGAAACACAGGCCGAGCAGCAAAGACATTCCACCGCTTTCCAGGCCTTTCCGAAAATGCAGGCCCTGGGCGAGAATCGCAGCCTCCTACACAGACAATTGGGAGGCCCAACTGAATGAACGAGGCCCAGCGGCTGCAACAGAGGCGCAGCCTCCCAGGGCCTACGGGAAGCTTCTGGGCCGAGGCCCAGGCCATCCAGGCCGCGAAGGCAGGCAGGCTCTTTCCATAAAGGTAAGAGCTCGCGACCGGGAGAGGCATGCAGCACTTGCATGCTGGCAGCAGTGCTGCTGGAGCGGACACTCGTAGGCTGCTGCTGGCGCTGAGAGGCAAGGTGCTAGCGTGTGCGGTCGTGCAGGAAGCAGGGCGCTGCTGAGGGCAGCGCCATAGCCCAGCCTCCATAGCTGGATGGGATTGGACTACAGTGAGGCGCAGGGGTGGTCTTCAGGTGTACAGAGGGAAGACGTGGGTGTAAGTCAGGGGAGAGAGAGAAGGATGGTGGTGATGATGATGCGAGGGCGCATACCTGGTATTGGCGATGGTCTGCATGGGCGACATCTTCAAGTACTTCGTAGGCTGCTGATGTCAACAGTTGCATTGTCAATTAGTAGGCAGACAGTAGCTGTGTAGGGTAGGCTGGGCGCCGAGCGCTAAGTAGGGAGAAAGGGCCTGGACACTTATGTTGGTGGTGGCGAGAGCAAGCTCTCATTGACATTGGTTTTCAGTATTACGATTCTTCATTGGTGTTATATTGGTGCAATTCTGCTTTCTGGAAACTGTGATACTATCTGGCCTTCAATGTGATTGTGCATTCTGGATATTGTCATCTCGCTGTTGCTCATTTTCCTTGCATATGCACCTATTTGGATTTACTACAAATTTCAAATTTGCCATAACGGCCTTTTTTGGAAGTCTTCCCAAGTTCCCGTTTGCTTTTTTTTTTTGCTTTTCCTGCATGTTCTCCGCTGTTTCCGACATTGGGGCACCTTGAACCATTTTTCAAAAATATTCAATTATTGTTTTTCTATTTTTCGGTTTCGAACTTTTGAATGAGTTGCTTTCCTGCTTTGGATCTTGCGAACTTCCCTTTTTTGGCATACACAGGATGGTGGCGTTCCCTTGAAATCGAGGACCGGCCATTCCATGTTGCTGGATCCTAATTGCAGGCTGCTGTATATATTTGCAGGCCAACGCAATAAGGTGACGCTTTATAACGAGGTGATTCTTTTTCATTTTATTCTATTTTGAATTCTAATGCCCTTTTTTTGTGTTTAGACGGGGGGAAGGGTTTTAATCTCTTTTAGACTTCTGTTTGTGCACCGTATTTGTGTACTTTGTCTCTTTGTGTGTGTGTGTGTGTGTGTGTGTGTGTGTGTGTGTGTGTGTGTGTGTGTGTGTGTGTGTGTGTGTGAGAGAGAGAGAGAGAGAGAGAGA